CCACCACGCCCGGCTGCACAGTCTTTAACGTTGCATTGTCACAAAGGTCCGCTGCTGGGCAGCACTGTCATAAACACCTGCCACAGGCCATGTCCAGCTTCTTTCATTCATCAGTGGCATTTATTACGAGATAGTCGGCAGGGAACAAGACGGCAGGAGTCACGGCCCTTTCGGAGCCTCAGTAGTGCAGAGACTAAATCCACAAGTAAGAAATAGAAGAAGGAAAGTACCCTGGGAGACTAGGGAAGTACAGTTATAAATGGGATCCTCGGGGTCTTGCTAGGAGGTGACCTGAAGCAAGGGTAGGACCAGCGCGGGACCCCACGCCCCTTGTCACTCGCCCCGGGTCAGTGGCGGGCAAGGCCCATGGCCTACCGCACCTCAGCTCCTGGCCTGGGTTGCAGATTTACAACATGCTGGTGGAAACAGGGGAGCTGGACAACACATACATCGTCTACACCGCCGACCACGGCTACCACATCGGCCAGTTCGGCCTGGTGAAAGGAAAGTCCATGCCATATGAGTTCGACATCCGGGTCCCATTCTACGTGAGGGGCCCCAACGTGGAGGCCGGTTCTCTGTAAGTGTCACCCCACGCCCAGGCTCCTAAGGGCTAAAAGCTGCAGCCCAACACCGTCACACCCCTGGGTGGCACACAGTTTCAGCGGTGCCACTTGAAAGAGCTGTTATGTCACCTGGGTGGATTCTGACCCTTCTGATGAGACAGGAGGAGCCAGGAGCAGTTAGCACCTGTGACGCAGATTGATTGTGGTGGGGCAGTGTGCCAGGAAATCCGGGCGTGGGGGTCTTCCCAGCAGGTGGAGGGGGTGGTTGCTTCTGGTGGCTGTCGGAGAGGAGCCCCAAGCCAGTGACCCTGAGATCAGCTGAGCCAGCTCCTGGTGGCAGCACAAAGGGGACCATGTTCCTTCCGCGTGAGCCGCTGCCCTCAGCCAGCCATCCTCCCTGGCTTAGCCTTTGTGCTGACATAGCTGACAGCAAAAGTGCTCCGTCTGGGGCAGGGGAGAGCGGAGCACAGCCAGTCATCACAGCTGCAGCCTTGGATCAGCCGGGGTATGTGGGAGGCAGAGCGAGCGAAGGGAATTTGGAAAGGCAGCTCCCCCGCCCCGCGCACGCACTTCTCCAATGCACAGAGGCAGAAGCATGTGCAAGGGTCCGTGGCTTCAGGCGTGCCTGGCTGCAGCCGTTTTATAACGCCATCAAGGAGCTCCGAGTTGGCTTCACCCTCTAGCAGGCTTTTCTTTGCTGGTAGCAGGATCAGCAGCTTCAAACCTTTGGCCGTCCAGCTTAGGGAACTGAACGTGGTTGGAAGAAAAGCCCTGAGCATGGCTCTCGTTCTGGTTTGGGTCACGTGTCTGGCCCTGAGCCCATCACTGTAGCCGGGGCTGATAGAAACTTGGGAGACCAGGTCAAGCACGTCAGGCAGTGGAAGCTGAACAAGGCCAAGTTGGCCTTAGAGCTGGAAGCTGTTGGCCCAGAGCAAGACGTGCATGCTGGCCGGGGAGAGCCATCGCGTCCTCCCCACCCTGGCCAGGGGGACCTCAGCCCCGTGGGTAGCTGGCCGCCGGCGCAGTCTCATGCCTCTTCCTCAGCTCCCTCGCCTGCCAGCGGAAGCTGCTGTGCAGGCCTCGGAGGCCTTGCGCCATGCAGCCTCAGCTCACCTCTCCCAAAGCCTCCAGCTGCTCAGCAGTCTGCAACACTGTGTGTGTGTGTGTGTGTGTGTGTGTGTGTGTGTCCATGCGCATGTGCTTAGGAGGGCATACTGGGGATTCACCAGAGCTGCCCTTGAACAGAGCTACATCTCCAGCCCTTTCTTCACTTTGAGACAGGGTCTTGCAAGGCTTTAAGTTGCCCAGGCTGGGCTCCAACTTGGAACCTTCCTGCCTCAACCTCCCAGAGCGCTGGGATTACAAGTGCGTGCCACCGTGCCCGGCTAACTCCTTGGTAATAGTTGAGGAAAGCGCTTCGGGGGAAGTCACTGTCGTACAGATCTCTGCAGGGAGAACGTTCAGGGCAGAGGGCACAGCAAGGATGGAGGGACTCCGAGGCCAGACTGTGCCCAGCCCCAGAGGGCAGCGAGGGGTGGTGTGTGCCTAGAAGTCAGAGGATCCAGGAAGGCCCAGGGTCTGTGCAACGCCGAAGGTGGAGAGCCCCGTGGTGGGGGCGGGGGGTCAACCCAGCGCTGTCGTGTAGGGAGGCTTAGAAGGCAAGGGGGTGAGTGCAGGGCAGGAGCTGACTGAGTTGGGCCCACAGGAGAACTGTTGGGGGTTGAGGTAGCATGATTCAGAGTCCTCACCTGGCGACACCTCTGCTTCTGGCCGCCTCTCTCCCGAGCGAGGCCAGGCGGCCAAGTCCCTGCTCTTCCTGTCTGCTCAGGAATCCCCATATCGTCCTTAACATCGACCTGGCCCCCACCATCCTGGACATCGCCGGCCTGGACATCCCTGCAGACATGGATGGGAAATCCATCCTCAAGCTGCTGGATATGGAGCGACCAGTGAACCGGTGAGGGGGCGGAGCAGGTTCCGGGGGAGGGACACTGGGCTCCCCAACCAGTAGACATTTAGGGCTGTGTGGGTCTGGAGGTTTCTAAGAGTCAGGAGGTGGGGTTCTAGGGCCCCCTGTGCTGACCACTGGCCTGCCGTGGAGAGGGAAAAGGGACCCTCTCCAAGGCTGGGGCTTCCACCTGGACTGGAGGACTGGGTCACAGCTAAGCTTATGCAAAGCCTGAGAAGACAATAGCAACAGCAGAGCCACAGGCGTTCGCTGTAATTGATCCCTTGTTATGTCCCAGGTCTTGTTCTAAGCGCTTTACAGGGGATGCTGTCATTTCCAGTCTCACAGCAACTCGGCGAGGTAGGCAGTTGTATTACATCCGTCTTACCGTCTGGGAGTTTGAGTCCCAGAGAGGCCGAGGGGCTTCTCAACAGTCCGGATGCAGCTCCAGGAATTCGGACTGTTGCTACGCTCCGTGGCTTTAATGATGGGGAGTGTGACGGGAACACGTTCCTAGGTGTCCCAGGCGGCAGAAGGGAACCGCAATGGTGATCAAAACATAGGTGGGAAGGGGGAGCTGAGCCATAGGGGGAAAGGCAGGCGGCAGCGACATCTCGTGGCCAGTGCTGGCACTGCACACCAGGCCGCTGGCCCCAGGCGTTACTTCAGCCTCGGGCTTGCACTGTTCCTCCTTCCCTTCCAGAGTCTAGCTCTGAGGGGTGCTGACCAGTTCACACTGAGGCACCTCCTTCCAATTAGAGGCCAAGTGAGATATTGGAGTATAAGTGGGTATTCATGGGGAACAGGAACTGAGTTGGAGGCCAGGATCCCTAGGAGTCAGGGTACAGCTGGTAACGTCCTCTTGGCCTCAGTCTGCCCATTTAGGAAATGGGAAGAGCAGTGTGGCATTACAGGGAGCGCACACTGCAGGACCACAGTTACAACTCTAATGAAGCAAAGGAAAAATCTGAAACGTAATTAACCGAAGTGCAGATGGCCTTGGCACCCCGCCAGGCAGGGGGTACACACGCACGGCTGGAACTTCAGACCCCAGTCTTGGCCTGGCGCCGGGACTGTGGGCCAGGCTGGCTTGGGAACAGACCCTCCCCCAAGAGGAGGAGATGTTGGGGAGGGGCCCCAGAGAAGAAGCTGGAGCTCGCCTGTTTTCCAGGTTTCACTTGAAAAAGAAGATGAGGGTCTGGCGGGACTCCTTCCTGGTGGAGAGAGGGTGAGTTCTGGGGCATTAAAGGCGGCGGGGGGCGTTCTTACGACCTGGAGGCTGTGTCCAAAGCCGGTGACACGGTGCCTGTGGTTGATGCAGTCTGCATCTGGAGGCCATATGTACCCTGTGACACGTCTTGCCCAGCCTGGATAATGTCTTCCTTGTCCGTTCATTTATTGCCAACTCAAGCCTTTCAGGAGGTTTCCTATAAAATTCCGAGTTCTAAGTCTTTTAAAACTCGGCAGCTCTGGTCAGCCGGCCCCTCGTCCTCCGAAGTGAGGGCGAACCACAGCCCCAGGCCCCTCCAGAGCTCAGGCCCTGCCCCACTCCCACAGCAAACTGCTCCACAAAAGGGAGAGCGGCAAGGTGGACGCCCAGGAGGAGAACTTCCTGCCCAAGTTCCAGCGCGTGAAGGACCTGTGCCAGCGCGCCGAGTACCAGACGGCGTGCGAGCAGCTGGGGCAGGTGAGGAGCCCTCTGCCACCCTGCTGCCCCTCCTTCTGGCCTGCGTGCGCCCCCCACCTGCCGAACCGCGGCACGCCGGGAAGCTCACAGCGGGCGGTCCCCTTCCCCGCAACTCCTGGACGCTGTCCGGCCGGAGGACAGTGTCCTGTGGCACGGGCGTGACAGGGTTCCTCACTGTCCAGACTCCCGCGCCAGGGTCCCAGCAGGTAGCCACAGGCATTCACTTTATGTTCAGCATCTTCACTTCCGTGGTTTCCTCTTTGTGGCTGGTCTTCCTTTTCTAGCAGTCATAGGAAATGGTTTCTAAAGGCGAAGTGACCATAAGAGAACTATTAAGGTAGCAGTCAGAGATGGCAGGAGCTGACTGGCTTTTCTGAGGCCTGGAAGGTTGAGGGGGGCTGTAAAAGCGCACAAGGCTCAAGGGGCCGGGGAGGAGCGGGAGCAGGCTGGGGCAGGCAGGCAGGAGGGCATGGCGCCTGCCTCACACTGAAGGGGTGTGAGGGGCCGGAAGCCATGCACGCCACATTGACCACCGGGTAAGAACAGACTGGTGAGGAGGTGGGTTCCGTAAGCAGGACCTTCAAGGGCAGGCGGGGACAGTTCCATCGCAGCTGCAGCTCCTCCCGGCTCTGACCAGGGCAAGTCCCTCTATGTCTCTGCGCCTCGTCTTGAAGAGGGCATGATGATAGCACCCGCCCAGCAGGGTAGAGCAAGCTGCATTTAAGAACCTAGTGCCCACCACCCAGTGCTTGGCATAGGGTAGGTGCTCAGTAACCAGGGGGAACAGATCCAGTTCTTGTCCTGGGAAGCTCACGTGAGCATAGGACAGGCCCTAAATAAGCAGTCAGCGGGCCAGAGCAGGCAAAAGCAGAGGGGAGAGAATCCTGCTGCAGGACCCAGTGGGGGTCTAGCAGGCTGGAACCTGGCAAGAGCATGAAAATCATTCAGAGGGAGCTTTAGGAAGTGGTTATGTGTAGTTACCTCTGACCAAAGGCGAGTCCGATGAGTACATGGATACCCTGGCTCCCTGTACGGACCTACTGCTTGGTGAGGGGAAAAGGATTTTACACAAGGTGGTCAGGGAAGGCATCTGCAAAGAGATGACACAGAAGCAGAGACCTGAAGGATGAAGACTCCAACTTCAGGAAGAGCTGCAGAAAAGCGTTCTAGGCCACAGGGACAGCACGTGCCAAGGCTCTGTGACGGCAGCACATTTGGGTATCAGAAGAGAGTTCTGGAAAGCAAGGGTGGAGCAGCAGGAGGATAAGATGCCGGAAGGGGAGGCAGAGGCCAGATGGTGCAGGGGGCAGAAGACCAGAACCAGGTGCTTGGGCCTCTTCCTAAAGACAGGAGCTCTTGGAAGGCTTTAGAGGGACGAGCTAACCTGCCCTTGTTAGACTCCTCCAGCTGTCCCGTGAGCAGGGACAGAAAGGAGCCGACTGAAGCAGCCAACCGGGGGTGGAGGCTGTAGTAGCCTTGTGCTGACGGCAGCCGCCACGAGGTACAAGCAGTGACGGTGGAGACGAGCAGGCACTTGGCGGCTGTAGGGGTGGGTAGGGCCTGGCAACTGCTGGGTATGGGCAGGGAGAGGGCAGTCCCTGGGTTTGGGGACCTGGGTGACCAAGGCCCTGGTGTCTGAGACACTGATGTGCCTTGCAGAAGTGGCAATGTGTGGAGGACGCCTCGGGGAAGCTAAAGTTACACAAGTGCAAGGGCCTCGTCCGGCCCAGCAGCAGCGGCAGAGCCCTTTCCAACCTCGTGCCCAAATACTACGGGCAGGGGAGTGAAGCCTGCGCCTGTGACCGCAGCGAATACAAGCTGGGCCTGGTTGGACGCCGGAAGAAGCTCTTCAAGAAGAGTAAGTGTCAGCCGGGCATGGTGGCGCACGCATGTCATCCGAGCACTCAGGAGGCTGAGGCAGGAGGATCATTGCGAGTTCAGGACCAGCCTGGGCTGCATCGCGAGACCCTGTCTCAAAAAGACCAAAAAAAAAAAGTGTCACAGCCTGGGCAGAACTGGACAGGACTGCATTTTGGGATGTCCCATTTGTTCAAACAATTCCAAAGGCATTTGCATCTTTGACCCAGTATCATTCTAAGAGCCAGAAACACAGCCAGACTTCACTTGAGCCACCCATTCCAATGGGGACAGCAGTGACACCACACACACACACACACACACACACACACACACACACACACACGGGCTGCTGCAAAAAGTGGGGCAGAGGGAGTGTGGTAGGCAAGAGCCAAGATCAGATATGTGTGAGCTGTCAAAGACGAGAGAAGCAGGAAGCCTGCTATGGGCCTGGCTCAGACACCTGACCAAAAGCCAGGGGGTGCGGGCTGCGCTGTGCCATCAGAAGAGGAAGGAGTTGGCTTCCAGGAGTGGCCTGAGTGGACAGCCATCAGGCCACACTGCTGTAGTTGATGCTTATTCTTCACAGGTTCCGCATTTGCAAATTCTCCTGCTTCTAAAATTGATGTGTAGCCCCCGAATCGATGCTTGAGGCACCTCTGAGGTGACTAGGCTGCTTTGAGTTGTTTAGCATGTTCCTGGCTACAGCCTTCCTCGTTCCAACTCTCACGCTACACGAAGTGTCCTTTCCGCGGTCTGCTTAGTGCCGTACATCCCACGCTTTTCTGCCTTGTTGGGCAGTTTCACCCTTTAAATGTCCCCATATGCATGCTGAGGGACTGGCCAGGTTGCTAAGCGCAGGAAGTCCACGATGTGTCTTACAGGGAAAATACGTGGTGTAAGTGAGCTTCCTTCAGGCGGAGTTGCTGTGCTGCTGGCCGTAAGTTCAAGGGTAACGGATCCGCAGCATGGATAGAATGTCTCTACAGTGAAGCACACTTACAGGGCTGTGTTGGTGCCTGAAGTGTCGTGACCAGAGCCACAGGAACCTAGCTCCATATGTCCACCGCGCCATGGGTCAGTATTAAGTCGGTGTGTGAGTGACTTCACAGGGCATGAGGAAGTACTGTAAGTTATGAGAGGAGATGTTATCTGGGACAAGGTGGGAGAGCTCCATCAGCTGGAGAAGCTGCCACACCCCCTAGAGAGCCCAGGAGCGTGTGGCAACCTGAAAGCCAAGGAGCAGAAGCAAGTAGGATTCTTCTGGCCCTGGCTGGGAGGCTCGGCCAGGCCGTCACACGTGACTGGGTACGTCCCATCCTGTGGCTCAGGTCCTCCCCCTAAAATAGAAAGGATGGTCCCTGCCTGCCTTGCGAGTGGGAATGAAACTGCTTTAAAAGTGCATGAAGCACTCCTGGATGTTGATCAGCTGACCAGATGTGTCCCCCCACCCCGAGGTAGGCAGACTCTATGTACCCATTTCTCAGGCTTCCTCACCCAAGGACAGCCAAAGCCTAGGGACTTGTAAAAAGCATATAAAATGTACAGTCTTCACCATTTAAGTTTCCACCTCAGCGATGCTGAGTAATTCATACTGTTGTACAACCAGCTTCCAGAACTTTCTGTTTAGTTCTGTCTGTGTTAAACACTGTCTCCCTAATCCAGGTCCCTGGCCCTACCCTTCTGCTCTCTGTCTCTACCGTAAGGCACTGTCTTTGTGTGACTGACTGCCTGTTCTCATTCTGTGTAACATGGGTCAAGAGTCACCCATGTGGCAGAATTGTCTTCCTTTTTGAGGCTATTGGGGGCTTGCCCCAGTCTAATTAGAGATGTGGGTGTACTGTCCCTTTTTAGCTCCCATGGACTGTCCAGCCTAGCAATAGACACTTTTGTCATAGAGATAGAACTTTCTGGAATGACCCCACTCCTGCCTCAAGCAGTCTTCCCAGTTGATGTCCTGTCACATTTCCTCATGAGCAGATTAGTAACTACTGAGCCTTTCCAGCTGAATGCAATGATCAGTTTTTCCAGATTAAATTACATAGCATCTCTTGGCTTCAATATGCAGCACAGATCATCTTTAAATAATACAAGAACTTGAGGTTAAATTAACCTTCCCCCACCCCTTGTCCCATGCATGGTTAGAAGGAAAATGCAAGAAAATAAGCTGACATGTGGGTCAGCCCTGGTACAAAGTCCTTGCCTAGGGCAGCGTGACCTCAAAACTCTGGCTTAGATGACTCCGCAACAGCCCTGTGAGCAGGGCCAGGGTGACCACTCCTTAGGAGGGGTGGGAAAGTCACATGGCTGATCTGGAGACTGCAGTCCCATCTCCTGCCAAGAGGCATCTTGTCCCCAGGGGGCTCTGAGCAACATCTGGAGAGTTTCTGGCTGTCACAATTGGAAGTGACTGGGGTGCTGCTGGCACTGAGCAGGCAGAGACCAGGGATGCCGCTAACCACCCCGCCGTACACAGGATGCCTCCATGAGCCAGTTAACTGTGCTGAGGCTGAGAAGCCCTCCCTGGGCAGCTCGGGCCCTGGCCCACCTCAGCCCGCTGGGATTATGGCTGTGGTGTGCCGAAACCAAGCAGAGCCAGCCAACCCAGGACAGACGTCCTGAAGAGCGGAGGGCGATGGCCATCCCGAGACGGTCCCAGGTGGCCGATGTTTACTGTTACTCTCCCAGCGCATCTGTAAGCAATACTGAATACCAGATGTGAGATTAGAGTTGAATGTGAGAGACTCTGACTTGAACCACGGGTGAGTGAAGATTTAAACAAATTAACACATCACTTCCCATGGTGAAAAGCCATGGAGGAAAGGCAACAATACTGTGAGCAGGTGGAGGTGTGCAAATGCAGATGGAGCAAGCCTGGTGACCAGCCAGAGAGCAAGTGTTAGTCAGAAAGAGCTTGGTGAGGGCCAGGGATATAGCTCAGCAGCAGAAGCGCCTGCCTGGCAAGCGCAAGGTCCTCAGTTCGATTCCCGGTACCAAAAAAAAGGAAGTACTTGGTGTGTCCCAGCCACACAGCCAGTGTGGCCTGAGTGTGGGGTAGCCGGTCACACAGGCTTTGCAGGCCCATTACTTTGGGCAAGGATGTCACAACTGCAGTCTCAAGCCCCCAGAGCAGTGAGTCAATGCCAGCTCACCAGGTAGTTTTGTTTCATGTCATCCTCCAAAGGGCCCTATGACCCGGGCACCATCATGATACCATCACTGCTTGGAAGTCAACTGAATCACCATGGTCGCACATGGAGCCAGGATTTGCACCTGAGCAGTCAGGTCCTCCAGCCTAAGCTCCGGGACACTAGGATTTAAGTCCCAGTCCCACCTCGTTTGCGTGGCAGGAGGTTCCTCTGAGGCCCTGGCAACAGTGATGCTGAAAGGTGAAGAGCAGGTATGGCTGCACTCCAGGAAAAGTCATATGGGGCTGTTACACCTGGGCAGAGTCAGACAGTGACTAACTCAGGCTTTACGGGTCTGTGGTCTCCGCCTCAGCTGCTCAGTTCTGTGACTGTACTGAGGTGAGCAACTGAGAGCAGCTGTGTTCCCGTGGAGCCACACTTACACGCACATAAAGGGCGAGGTCAGGACCCGCGGCCGTGGTCGGGAACCCTAGCCTTCTAACTAGGAGACAGATGGTGGAAAGGTGCAAAGCAGCTAACCCCTAAAGGTGCAGATAGTCTGTTTCATGACAACACGGGCAGGGCACGACCTGACGGCACAGGAGAAGTTCCTCAGTGCTCTGCCCCAGGGGTCTTGGCTACAGTGAGATAAAATGCCCAAGAGAAAGCTGCCCAGAGGCAGTAACAATCAAAGCTTTGCCAACAAGGGTGAGCCTCCCCAGCAGCCCCGGAGATCCTCTGGCCTTATGACTCAGGCACAAGGAATATGAGAACTGAAAGACACAAAACTTTTGACCCGAGGAGTGGGGGCAGCAAGACAGGATCCTGGAGCCCCGGGGAAGGAGAGGCCTTTGTCCCTGCTGCATTCGAGATGCCACTACCTCCTGCCTCCAGCCAGCTCTCCTCGGTCGCCATCTAGTGGTCTAGGCTGGTAACTGGCTCCAGCTCCTTCTCGTGAAACTACATTTTGGAGAGGGTTGAGGTACTTCACTGCAAGCTGAGCCACACAGGAATTAAAGTTTTAAATCAAAGGGCAGAGTTTTAAAACTGAAACCCCTAGCCGGGCGTGGTGGTGCACGCCTGTAATCCCAGCGCTCGGGAGGCTGAGGCAGGAGGATCGTTGTGAGTTCAAGACCCACCTGGACTACAAAGTGAGCTCAAGGCCAGGATGAACTGCGTAGCGAGACCCTGTCTCAGACCAAAAAAAAAAAAAGAAAAACTGAAACACCTGACAGAGACTAGAGAACCAAATGCCATAGGTTCTTGCCTTTCCTGATCCTTTATAACTAAGAACCCAGTTACACCTTCTATTTTCTTTTCAGACGCTGGAAATCTAAATTCCTATCTGATCACTACCACTTTTTTTAATATTAACAATGTCACAACTTTTTAGTATTATAGAAGACCATGAAGCCCAGGGCCTGACTTGAGCCTGCATGCCCCGCCTTCCACAGGCAGGCACACACCCCCTGCCCCGCAGTAAAGAGCACCTGCGGAGGAAGTCAGGCTCGGCAGGCTGGTGACTCCCTGACCACCCATTTCTGTCCAGATCGCTGCATGGCTCTTTTTTTTTCCCCTACTCCATATCTTTATATCCATTACTTTTTTCTCCTCTGTTTATTGAGGCGAAGTTCATATAAAGCTTAGTATTTTTACGGTTTTGTACAATTTAGGAGCATTTTAATACATCCAGTATTGTACCACCATCTCCAGATCTGAAATATTTTCATCACCTGCAAACCTATGAAGCAGTGACGCTGGGTACCTCTCCTCCAGCCCGAGCAACCACGAGTCCGCTTTCTGCCTCTACAGGCTGACCTATCCCGTGTGGTTCACATATGCAGGACGATACCGTGTGTGACTTTGTGTCTGGCTTCTGTCATATAACATAATGCTTTTGACATTCATCTAGCCCGGTGGTGGCGAACCTATGGCACACGTGCCGCAGTGGTCTGTTCTCAGCGAAAGCACTGAGAGATTCATCACCACCGCTCCAGGCTGCGGCATGCAGCAAGGCTTCCTTCCATAACTGAACGCTCCTTGCTATGGATGAGTCATAATTTTCTCTCGTCAGTTATTTCTTAGCACGAGGACTTCAGTCTCCCCAATGTCATTACCTTGAAGTCCTCTCCCTGGGGCCCAGGAGCTGCTTCCAGGTGGATAAACTTCATAAGCTCACAAGTCCCGTGCAACACTAAGCCTCACGCTCAGCCTTACCTTCAGGAAGGATCTGCTGCTTGAAGGGACCTGGCCAGCCGTTCCCAGCCTCCCTAACGCAGCTACCCTCTGATGCCCGCAGAGTACAAGGCCAGCTATGCCCGTAACCGTTCCATCCGCTCCGTGGCCGTTCAGGTAGACGGCAAGGTGTACCATCTAGGCCTGGATGCTGCACCCCCGACCCGCAACCTTACCAAGCGGCACTGGCAGGGGGCTCTCGAGGACCAAGAGGACAAGGATGGTGGGGGCTTCAGTGGCACTGGAGGCCTTCCAGACTACTCAGCCCCCAACCCCATTAAAGTGACCCACAGGTGAGGGTCCAGGCAGAGGTTGGGGGTGGAGGAGCAGCTTGGGCCCCTTTCATGCCTCAGGGCCACACATGTGACACTTTCTCTCAATCAGGTGCTACATCCTAGAAAATGACACAGTCCAGTGTGACCTGGACCTGTACAAGTCCCTGCAGGCCTGGAAAGACCACAAGCTACACATCGACCATGAGGTGAGCGTAACGGGGCAAGGAGCACACTGTCAGGCACCACAGGCTCAGAGGCACTCAGCGACTCACCATCCTCAGGGAGGCCCGAGGCAGGAGAGGTGAGGGAAGGTCCGTAGAATCCACAACCCGGGTACAGGAGCATCAGTCCTAGCAGCCCCCTGCAGCAAGCTGTCTAAGGAAGACAACCTTGCCACACCATACCCCTGACCCACAAGCTATCTCTACCACAGTTAGGCCTTTGAGCACGCCCGGGAGACACAGTACACCCCTCAGTGGGCTCAGCGGGTTCTCAGGCCGGGACAGAATGACTTACAGCTCCTCACAGGGGCCTGGTTAGCGGGAAAGGAATTGCCTTTACGCAGTGGAAGAGCCTCCTCAGCACCCGCAAATGCAGGCAAATCCATGGGGTCCAGGGTACAGAGGAGGCAGGGCTGGGGCAGTCAGCAGGCCGGGCCCTTCTCACCCAGCCCACTGCTTCAAGGCCTCCTCTCCTGCTCCCTCCTCAGATTGAAACCCTACAGAACAAAATTAAGAACCTCAGGGAAGTCCGAGGTCACCTGAAGAAAAAGCGCCCAGAAGAATGTGATTGCCACAAAATTAGGTGAGGAGTTAGCAAATGGCCCCGTGCTCCCGAGTATCATTCCTGGAGACAGCATCACCTCATGTTACTAAACCCTTGCATTCTTCACCCTATCCCAGGGTTAAAAAAAATTAGTAATTGATATCCGCATTGTGAGCCAACTGGGAACACAGTACATACAGCCCGCAGGGGCCCAGATCACTGCGCTGCTCACAGGAGGCAGGCTCTCCCATCCAGCACTGGCTCGAGGCAGGGGAAGCACCTTTTAAAAGCATGTCCTTAAAAAAAATAAAAGCACGTCCCTTGGAAATCATCCAGGTGGCTCGAGGTCCACGTCACCACAGGGCGCCCCCTGGCTTGAGGGACTGAAGTCCAGAGCAGCCCTATCCAAAAGAACTTCTCCCACAAGGGTGGAAATGGTTCTACCTGCACTGTCCAGTGTAGTAGCCACAAACCACAGCGTTTTCCATTTTACCTAGTGTAAGCTCCAACAGCCACAGGTGGCCAACAGCTCCTGAACTGGACAGCACACCTGCACCATCTTTGCTGGCTTCCCAGAAAGGCTTCCAAAACAACACATCTCTAGTGCCGGCCTGGCTAAGTTTAAGATGAAGCGGGTGGAGGCCAAGGCTGAGCCACCTAAAGCCAGGCTCAGGTCCTAGTCTTGGCTAAATTATGACACCACCACTCTGGCTAAAGCCTTCAGCCAGGAGCTCCCAGCCCCCACATGGAAGAGCCAGCTAGGCAAGAAGCTGCCACCCTGGCGACAGCACAGTACCCTTCCTACCACCACCCCACAGCGAGGGGCTGGGTGGGCAGCAGTGAGTAAGCGAGTCTTAGGACTATAGTCTGCATGTGCCAGGGGCACTCTGCACAGCTGTGACATGGTGCTCTGTTCCAGCTACCACACCCAACACAAAGGCCGCCTCAAGCACAAAGGTTCCAGCCTGCATCCTTTCAGGTAAGAGCAAATAAGGCAAGCTCCAGAGAAGAAAAGCAGAGGTCCTCAGGAGGCTGCCCAACCCTAACAAGACAAGGCAGCCCTGGCTTTCCCCGGGAGGTGTGTTGGCTGTCCTTAGAGACCTCTGACTCCTGAGCCACACTGAGCAGGTATCCAGCACTTTGTGGTTAGATGGGATTGCTGGAACCCTGGGAGGGGAGGGCACAGGGTGTGCACAGGAGTCCCAGTGGCTTTTTTCTTGGGAGCTACTGAAGGATGGTACATGAAGAAAGAAGCCCCAGATTCTAGTCCCAGCTCTTCCTGGCCCGAGTGGTGAGATTTGGGGTCCTCTGTTGGAGAGGTCACAATCTAGCGCTGCACATGGAAAGGAAGACCAAAGCTTGGGTCACTGATCCCTCAGTGGTCCAGTGTTGTGCAGGGTTTTTTTTGTTTTTTGAGATAGGATCTCACTATACAGTTCAGGCTGGCCTTGAGCTCACTATGGAGCCCAGGCTGGACCGGAACTTGTGACAATCCTCCTGCTTCACACTCCCAAGGGCTGGGATTACAGATGTGTGCCACCACGCCCGCCCTTGTGTGGTTCTTTTGCTCCTAGGAAGGGTCTGCAGGAGAAGGACAAGGTGTGGCTGCTGCGGGAACAGAAGCGCAAGAAGAAACTTAGAAAGCTGCTCAAGCGTCTGCAGAACAATGACACGTGCAGCATGCCGGGCCTCACGTGCTTCACCCACGACAACCAGCACTGGCAAACAGCACCTCTCTGGACATGTGAGCAGGCTGGGGGCAGGCACAGGACAGGGATGGGAGGCTGGGGCCCACTTGGCATGGTAAGTCACCTACGCCTGGCTTGCGAGGCCTCACTGCCTTGCAGGTCTCTCAGAAACAGGTGCCAACATCAGCGGTCTACAGGTGCTCCAGAGTGTCACTTGGCATCTGAGGAAGTGGCTCAGGGGATGTCCCTGACAGGAATCAGCTTCCGGACCGGGCTTCTTCCTTCAGACACATTCAAGGCATGCTCTCTCTTCCCTTGGCAGTGGGGCCTTTCTGTGCCTGCACCAGTGCCAACAATAATACATACTGGTGCATGAGGACAATCAACGAGACCCATAACTTCCTCTTCTGTGAATTTGCAACTGGCTTCCTGGAGTATTTTGACCTCAACACAGACCCCTACCAGGTACAGATAACACCAGGAGAAAGAGGGATATGAGTTACACCGACAATGCCAGGAGGTCCCTAGCTCTAGGAGAAGCAATGATAAGCTTCCAAGTCCCACTAAGTGCCTAGGACAAGAGGACTGAGTTCTGAAGCCAGAATCTAGGGAACTGATGTCTCATCAGCCCGCCTGATTCCTGATACATTCGTTACCCTTTGTCCCCCTTAGGCACAAGCTAACTTCAGGGAGGTTCCCTAAGGAGGACCACACACTGAACACCCAGGCCTACATACAAGGAACGTGCACGTGTGCCATGCACGGTGCTTAGTGCTTCCACATTTTAAACCACTAGACACACAAACGATCAGAGGGGTCCTGAGCCGCATGTAAGATGAAAATGAGCAGAACAGTGGATATGAGCGCCCTTGTACCGTGACAGTCACTACTGAGCTGCAGTACTAGAGCCGTACTGTAGTGTGACCTTGGCGTTGCCCAACCATCAACCTTTTAAGAAAAGTCCAAAGTAATTATGTTAACTTTCATTCTTAACTCTCAGCGGCTCAGCTGCTTTATCTGAACGGATTACCATGTAGGCTACCAGTGGTGTCCTCAGACAGGTCACGCTGTGTCACCAAAAGGGGTGGCGGAGGATGTAAGTGAAGCAGTCACTAGTAGCTCCCAGAGTAGGCAAGGGCCCAGTCACTTACCAACCCCTTCACAAAATGGGCCCTTTTCAAACTAAAGGAAAGTGAGGCACTTTGAGTGAAGGGTATAGACAAATCCAAGGCTTGAAAGGGCTTCCAAACTTAGTAAGTTTCCTGACCAGTAGCTCCAGAAGCTCAACAGTACTTGCACAGATGTGGTTTAATGTGGTTTTTATTCTCGTACGAGTTCCCATTAAAGGACCTGGTAGGAATAAAAGCTAAATCACCACCTAACTCTTCTAGCTCTTAGAGAAGTGGAAGGTGGGATGAGCCACCTCTCAGCTGCTTTCTTGGGAGCCACTGCTTCTGGCTGCCTGGAACAAGTCCCCTGGGGGGCAGAAGCACAGGAGGCAAGAGTCCCTGGATTCACCTTGGTGACAACCTGCCTTTTTCTCAACCAGCTGATGAACGCAGTGAACACACTGGACAGGGAGGTGCTAAATCAGTTACACGTGCAGCTCATGGAGCTGAAGAGCTGCAAGGGTTACAAGCAGTGTAACCCCCGGACTCGGAACATGGACCTGGGTGAGTAGTGCTGGGGCGAAGCCTGCGGAGGACAGGGTAGCCATAGGAAGGAATTACTTCAGAGCTCACCAGGAATTGGGAGATAATACAATTCAACATGGGTCATCATCTGGAAACTTAAGGCGCCCACCGCCAAGCAGTCAGCTGGCTTCTGATGCGCTGTGCTTCTGTAGAGAAGAGTAGCTAGACCAGTGGTGGCCAACTAAGGCCTGTGCTGCACTGGGCTATTACCACTGAAAGCTGTAAAAGGTTGGCCATCACAGATCTAGATGATTTATACAGAAAACACAGAATTCCTTCTCGTTTTTGTTTTCTTTGTTCATTCCCTGGAAATCGCAAAGATGAGTATACTCTGACCTCATGGGAAGAAGCCTCTGGCTTGAATGGAGAGAGAACAAGATGATGTTGTACAATGTAACCACCACAGTTTCCCTCAGATAAGAGACTAGGTCAGGGGTGGCCCCTCTAGGAAGTCATCTTTGAGCAGAGTCCTGCAGAGTAAGAAACAATGCACTTTTAAACCATGGAGGGCTGGCGTGCTGGGGATGTGACGGGCAAAAACAGCCCAGTGTGGTCAGAGCCGAGGCAAGGGAAGGTGGTGGAGAGTGAGTGTGCCAGAAACCATCCTATAAGGGGTTGGTAGGCCACAGCAGGAAATTAACTTTATCCCAGGTACTTCAGGAAGCCAATGGAAGGTTTAACCCCCAAGCAGCAAACAGCCTGTATTAAATGGAGGGTCAAACTGTATGGGTTAAATAGTGACAGCGCTTATCCAGGGAAGATGGTAGGCTGGAGATCCAGGTGGTGAAGCCCATAAGAACATGGTGGAGACAGCAGAGGTAACAGAAGTAGAAGTTACCTTCAGCTCCTAGATTTTGTGTGCAACAAGAGCAAAATCAGCAGTTCTAAGTTCAGGATGCTGACTATATCTCTTTTCTAAAAAAGAGAAAACCTAGCCAGGTGTGGTGGCGCACGCCTGTAATCCCACAGCACTCAGGAGGCTGAGGCAGGAGAATCGCCACAAGTTTGAGGCCAGACTTGGCTACACAGTGATTGCAACTTATCTCAACCCCCCCACACACACACACAAAAGAAAACCCCAAATGGAATGGAATCCATTTACTTACTAGTCAAAATGAAACACTGATTTAACCTATATAACCTTTTCAAGTGCCCTATGGCACCTGAAAGCCCATGGACAGTTTTTACCTGTGTCAAGTATGATGCCTAAAGTTCCTGTCAGAAAAGTGGCTAAGCTGCTACAGAGGAAGAATCCAGTTGCTACAGTCAGCTTTGGTTATGGAAAGGGGAGAGCAAGTGTTCGCAGAAATTGTGGCACTCACACTGCCTGCTCTGGCAAGCAGTGCACGATCACTCGCAATCCCGTATTAGTCACTGTATGTCAGGGGCCATGCTAAGCATTTTATATGCATTCACAATAATTCTCATGACCACCTTCTAGGGTACATCTTAGTCTTATTTTATGGGTGAACAAAGTGAACCCGGCAGCTGACTCCTACGACCATGCATCTATCACGCTGTTGTATCATCAGGACACCTTCCCTGGGACCCTAGTGTCAGTCCACAGTAGCACAAGCGTGTACCTCCCCCACCATGACTAAGGACAGTGCTGAATGAAAGCATCAGCATCCTACAACAGATATGGTAAAAAATATATATATACTACCCAAAAAAAAGAGAAGATATGGGGACACCTGCTGGCAAACAATCTGTAGGACCACCTAGGAGACCTAAGGAAAGTACAGCTCATTCAGTCCATGCCATCTAAGAAACACTACTGGCATCTTGGGATAGTAACAAAAGCCCAAGGTTGTTTTCTGCAAATTTGTCGTTACTTGTTCCGTTTTTGCCCTAAAAATGTCTCTCTTTTGTTCGTTTCTCCCTCATTTAGGACTTAAAGATGGAGGAAGCTATGAGCAATACAGGTATTCGCTTTTATTGCTAAAGCTTGACGTTCCCATAACTTGGCCTGACCTTCAGTTTCTTGTTTGTGAGGTTTCACCTTTTAGGTTGAGAAACTGCTGTTTCTCAGTCTGCCTGGGGCCTGATCACCTGACAGTGACAGGGGTCCTTCTCTGTACAGTTCTTGGGGAGCTCTTTGGGAATGACTTTCCTTCTTGGTGATGGTTAACATTCGTTCTCCTTTTGACACTTGCAAACGTAGGCAGTTTCAGCGTCGAAAGTGGCCAGAAATGAAGAGACCATCTTCCAAATCACTGTGAGTTGAGGAACCAATTTACAAATACAGATCTGGTTCTAACTTGCTTCTTTATGCCAAGGCTATTCTCTGTGCATGCCATTCCCCAATACCCTCACTGTTCCCGAGAAGAGAGGACAAGTGGTAATGACAGATTAATAATACCATGTCCAAAACAGTTGTCCTCTCTGTAATCACCTGTGCTTAGTAAACTAGAGCTGACTTCTAACTGCCTGAGATCTTGAAGGCTGTGTCTGCCAAAGCACTAACTGATGGGTATCAGTAATAGGGTGACTTCATTAAGTGATTCCAAAAAGTCCATCCTATCGTGTATCACTGCAGTGCTGAGAGGCTGGCAGGGGCTGCATGGAGACTGTGGTAAGCTGTAAGTTCAGCACTTTAACAAGAGTGGCAAGTTTGTCCCCTGCAAGAGAGGAGTGCACCTTCTTAAGGAAATCCAGAACTGCGGACTGCTGCTGTGGAATTCATTTTTGACAATGGCAACTAATTTGACACTAACTTACCATGTGGGCAAACCAACCCCCTTACTGACCTGCCATTTGCAGTCCAGTCTACTTGTTTAGTGGCCTGTTCTTTATTGCTGAGAAATGAAGCATTTCCTTGGTGCTTCCAATTACACCTCACATTCTCCTCGGCCGCTCCCCTACCCCGATCCTCAAATGCCATCTTTGCCAGGCTCTGTGTTAAGTGAGTGATTACAAGTGGAGACACTGGGGCAGGGTGCTGGGGTGACCTAGAAATGCTCATTTTCAGCAGCCACACCCCTGAAGCAAAGCTTACTCAGCTGCAGGACCGACTAAAAAGTCCTAAACCAGGTGACAATCAAAGGCTGAGAAGAGTTTGTTTTATTCTACAGGGGACAACTGTGGGAAGGCTGGGAAGGTTAAGCAGCAACAGGGATGGACCTCCGAAATCCGACGCTTCACCTGACTAACAGGCCATGAAGAACCAGCCACATCTGATTCCTGACTGACCTGTGATTCAGGCTGGGAGGTCTGAGAGAGAGAGAACTGCTTTCAGTCAACATTGGCGTGCTCTGGAGGACAGCAATCAGAAGCAGAGAACTTCAGGAAGTCCATTTTGGCCCTGCTTTGCTCTGGATTATGCCTCACCAGTTGCACAAAATGCATTTTCATATCAAAAAGTCACCACTAACCATCTGTGAGATGCTCATGCGATGAAAAAGGGCACATTTTCATGAAAACTTCCCCCAGAGGTGAGAGGTGAAAGTCGCTGGCATTTTTTTAAATCATAGAAAAAAAATCCTGTTTTAAATCCTCTTATTTTCTTGGTTCATCACAAAACAGCAGGACAGACAATTTGCAGATGCTGAAAATTGCAGTTTAACAGTGAGTCAGAGGGGGCTGGGGATTTAGCTCAGTGGCACAGCACCTGCCTGGCAAGCGCAAGGTCATGAGTTCAATTCCCAGTACCGGGAAAAAACAAAAACAACAAACAAACAAACAAAAAACCAGTGAGTCAGTAGCACAAAAAGTGACATTTACCGAGCACTATAACTCTGGTTGCCTCTGAAGAAACTGCCTTCCCTGTATATATAATGTGACTATTTACATGTAACCAACATGGGACCTTTTAGGGGAATATCCCAATTTTTCAAGAGTGGTGGTGTCAATAAACGCTCTGTGGCCAGTGTAAAAGAAAATCCCATGCAGTTGTGGACATTTCTGTTCCTGTCCAAATACCATTCTGCCCAGTATTCACTCCTTTGTTAGCCATTCCAGAACTGATATTTTTTATGGTAATGAAAAGAAATGAAGTTGATGTATGTCCCAACTTTGTATTTGTAACAAAACTGTGTAGTTCAAGCACTGTCATACAACGTTCAAAACCCTAACCAATGACCAGCAATTACTATGAAGAAATCTGTGAAACACCATCCTTGGGAGGTCGACCCCTGCCCCTTTTTAACAGCACTCAAGATACCAATAGTCAATGCCTTTTTGGAAGCAGATACCTTAAATTTGGAATTTTTTTTTTTTTTAAGGGGGAATAAACGGTTATAGATTAATGACTTAAATTTACCATAAGGGGTCTCACCGGTGTTGAGTTTCACATTTTAAAAGTTAACAGCAAAGCAGTTCATCACCTTTCGCTAGGTACTTCAAAACCTGGTTCCAGGTGGTAGGAGGAACCCCGTCATCAGCAGTCCAGCCCATTTATCATATGACAGATGTAAATAGTTCCAGTTTTCAATACCGCAAATAAAAACAGGTTGTGGTTTTTTTGGTTTTTGGTTTTGGGGTTTTGTTCTGTTTTGTTTTTTTGGACATGGAACCTGTACCTAAGACTGACTGGAGCTGTTATTTTAACTTTTTCTTTTGCCCTTAATCCAGTCTGATGGGGGAGGGGCGAGAAATCATGCTCATAACCGCCAATTTTAAATAGAAACCTTTATTTACAAGGACACCCAAAATGGTCAGCAAAGAAGTCACAGCTCACCACCCCATCTCATGAGTCATCCCATGTGGTTTAAATTCTTTGCAGTGTAAAAGAAAAATCTGTTTTTAAAAATCAACAATGTAAACTTGGCTGAAACCAAATCAATTCTTAATACTGTAAGTCAATTCCTGAGAATTAAAATATTGCTCTCAGAATGACATTTCCATCTTCAAGATTCCATATATTGCAAAGAGAAAAAAGAGGGAATAAGAAGAAAACACCTTGCTCATTTGAAATGGTCTACATTGGATTGAAAACAACTTATTCCTCTGCTGCAGGGGTAAATCTTCACATATCCTAGCAGATATATGCTCCTGTGAACTTCCCACTGGTGAATAAAACTCATGCCTTCTACAAATAAAAAGGAACTTGAACCGGCATATGGGCAACAGGGAATCAATTTTGTTTACTTTCCAGCTGCATGGGCCTCCTGATAAAAGTACTTGTACGCCATCAGGAAAATTATCTTCTACAGTACCCAACCCCAACTCACCTTACATATTTAATACTGATAAACTAAGTAGGACTGTGTATTGATATTTACACCTTTCAATCCAGATGGACAATTTAAAAAATGGCATCATAATATGAACATTAACAATGAAATTTCTATTATTTAAAGGACGAAACATGTATCTCCTTTATATCATTTTGATCTTCATAAAATATATATTTTTATTTATATATCTTTGGATTCAGCAAAAAAGTAGGTACTGGAAATATCTCACATTCTAAAAGCAGATGAAAAGACTTATACTCTTTACCAAGAAATACCCAGGTTTTAAAAAAGGGATTTGGAGACGTAGGCAGCAGAAGTACAAAGAATTATCCAAAAAAGATTAAAGGACAATAAAGGTAAAAACAACATTTCAAAGACTGCATCTGTTAAAATAAAATCAAAATATTGAACTTGTACCAATAAAATCTACTAGTAGAAAATATGAAAACTTATAATAAACCTCATATTTTTTCCCATACCAAAAAAAAAATAAAAGAAAAAAAGGGATGCTGCTGCCTTCTGTGTAGCCTGGAGTTGGGACTGAGAAAAGAGAAGTCAAGAAAGGTAGGAGCACCATTCTGTCCTCCTCACCTAGTCAATCTGAGGAAGGCTCAGACACACCCAACCTGCCCGGACTGAAAGAGCCTCTCACTGGGCTACGCCTGGGCTGTGCATCTGTGACACAAAAAACAAAGCGCCAAGTGAAAAGCATAAGCTGTGCAATGGAAGATTATGATTTTAAAATCTGAGATCTTTAACACCTGTGGGGAAGGGATAGGAATAGCACTCTCACAGTGGTCTGCAGAGTGCTGGAACATGAAATCCACTCTAATTGTGGTTCTAGAAATATGGAGCTTCACTTATTCATAAGCATGTCAAAAAAATTACCTATCCTTCACAGACATCTAGAAATCATTGCTAAATGATTTCTAATGTGTTTCATTCAAAAAATGAACTGGTTTGCAGTTATTACTAAAAAAGGATATCAAGGCTGGCAAAGTCACTTAGAATTTATAGATATTCCAAATTTTACTCTACTGTTTGAACCTAATAGAATAATCCCGTAGAGAGAATGAAACTTGATTTATCCCTTATTCCAGAATGACTAGAAGAGGTGTCAAGGAGAGGCAACTGTGTGTCTGTGTATGTGTGGTGGGGGGGCACAAAGGTGCTCAGACCGTGGCTCTGAATTACAACACAGTCTATTCTGGGTACTAAGCTCTTTAAGAAATAAGAGTGACGCTATTCTAATTCACGGATGTAGTGAAGACTCTATATTGGAAAATATAAAGATAGCTGAGCAGGCACGAGAAACCACACACCAAGGATTCTGCTCCTGCAATCTCAATGTGGGTTTCAGCTCCTAGCAACCAAAAGCTTATAGCACTCCTAAAATGGATGAAAAGACAACATGGTACTTAATTTAAATTTTGCAAAAGGAAAGATGATTTATGGACTGCTTAAAATCCGAAAGATTTTTTTAAATCAAATTGAATTTCTTCAGATTTCCTGATTTTTTTGTCTCTATATCTAGTCATTCCCCCAAAATTAACAAAGTGCTTAGTTCTCTGGTAAGGACTTTTGTTTTTAAATTTTAAATGCTCACATCTAAACAAGTGATCTCTTTAAAAAGCATTTAGACTGAGAGAATGAAAACGGTGAGGCATCTAACGCTGAGGGAGAGGAGTAACTGTAGCCCTGTCAACCCCTCCACCCCCATGCCCAGGTGACTGGGGGGATCCTCACCACACAGAGCTTACTAAAATCGACGAATGTTAAATAGTCAGCTTCACAAACTCTGTAAAAGTGAGTTGTTGTGACCTACAAAAAAAGTATGTACATATTTTACATAATACAATATTTTAATAGACCATATTTACAAAAAAACCTATTCACAGAAACACTGCAAACTTCTGAATCAGAAGGCAGTACCTGGCCTTACAGTTTCAGAAGTTTGTTTTCAAAAAGCATTATTGCTCTACCATATAGGCAAAGGGTGACACCAGTACTTTAAAAGAAAAAAATCGTAGTTCTTGTCCAACAGATTAGTAGAGACAAAAACCAGGAATGTAGTTCACCATTCCTCATGACCAAGAATATTGCATTTATCCATTACTTCTTTACTTAAATAAAGTGCACTCAGCTGCACGTTAGCATATGAAAAATTGCCACCGCTGCAATTAAATACTGTCATCTCATTTTCCCTTCTGCAAAGCTACTGGACATCAATGACAAACTCTGGAGGTGAAGTCATCATGGAACCTTAGGGCCAAATAAAATGTTCATTAGGATAAGGCCTAGGACAATAAAAACTCAGCAAAGAACAAAAACTCAGAAATGCCAATTCCACTGCATAAAGGACAGCATAAAATTACTTTATGAAACAAAATGCTTCCAAGATGGACTATGCTCTTTGCTCAGTACTGCAACTTGAGAAACCATGGATGTTCTGATCGGTCCATTACTCTCTAGCCCATCTACATTTAGCTGAACGACTTCGGCTAACAAGGCAGAAGGAAGTGACAAAGAATAACATTGTGACCGCATTCACTCCATTTCTCCACAATCACTTAGATACCTAAAAGGCAAAATAATACCAAAAATTTGTTTTGGACACTAGGATATACAAAAGCGGAAGAAACAACAAAAAAGATATTGCGCTTCACTTTAAGTCCTACTCAAATGACGTATCTTGGAATAGTCGTGATGAAGATCAAAGCTGGTCCTCGCTTGACAACTGGATGCCTGAACAATGGTTCTTTACCTCGCAATAATCCTATGGCAGTAGCATTTGTACACTATTTCCTTAGAGGTCCAGGTATAGGGATGTCAGCAATATTTCTGTTAGCAACCAGAAAAAAACAAGAGTTAAACAAGGCACTCAACAGAACAAAAACAAAACCGCCACCAAAAAAAACACCTTCACCTATAGTTCTGGCTGACCAGATCAGACTCAAGAGCCAAAATTACTCAAGTTTCTAATGGGTAAGGGCCTTCAACCAAAACAATTTTATTTACATTTTTTTTTTATTTTTTTCTCTTTGAAGAGTGGAGACCTGGGGATTGAACCCAGAACCTTCAAAGCCTCAGCCCTTTTTACTTGGACATAGGCTCTTACTAAACTGCTAAACTGCCTGAACTGGAATTCAGCCTCCCACAATGCTGGGATTACAGGCATATATGTCACCACACCCAGCCAGTTACCATATTATATCCAAATTAAAATCTACCCATATCTTTAGGTTACAGTTGAGGCTTTGATTCTCCCCAGAGAACAAGAAAAACTTCATGAACAGGTAAGAAATGGATCCCCGTACCTGATCAGGACCCATAGGCATGCCCGACATGGGCATGGAGTTCATGTTCATCTGTCCCAAGTGACCACTGTTGCCATTCATGTGCACCATACCATATGCTGCAGGATTCCCCTGGTGGGCAAACTGCTGCTGGGGAAAGGAGCTGTAAAGATAGTATAGTATCACCTCGAGTCATTTTAAAACAGGGCACACACAGCGTCTAACAGTTTTGTCAACTGTCCCTGTACTTAAGCGAGGCCTTCCATTTTTCACACCTATCTGTACTCAATACCATAAGAAATATATGCACAGTACAAAGGATGCTCAAAAGGGTCAAGCCATGTAACATTTTCTGATGTGAATTCAGGCCTTCTGATTTTCCATCAAAACAACTATGACTAGGAAATACAGGGGTTAATTTCCTGAGTTTATGGCACAAGGATGTGAATTGCTCTTAAACTAATTATTGTTCACCTGTTCCTGGCCAAGTTTCCTGATGGCCAGCCCTTCATTTCTGAGGGCTGATATATGGGTGCAGTCTGTGGGTGCTGCATCATGGGGTTCTGGGATGGACCCATTCTTGATGACATCATTGGATTAGGAGGACTAGGCACTCGTCCAAATGCTGTATCTGGTTGTTGTCCCATTCCTTAAAAGAGAGAAAGAAAGAAGAAATTATGATGCTCAAATACTACTTTGTTCCTTTTTGAAAAGGGGATGGGAGGCGGTGATAAGATGTGAAGTGCTGTAAGAAACTGGCTCCAAGTTATTCTTGCTTATCACCACGACAACAACTAAAGTCATGGACTTACTACCAAGAAGCATACCATCTAGACCAAGTGAAGGACAGCGGTTTCAAAGGCTTTTCTGTATGAAATGGAATCCATAATATGCTATGCATACCACTCTGTTCATCCCTCTTTAGAAGGCAGAGAAGCTACCATGCCTCAGAAAGCAGAGGTGCACACTGAAATTTAAGGGCCCCCAACAGACATCTTGTAAAGGTTGAACTGAAGTGCTGTCTGCATTATTAAGTTCAAGTCACCAGAAAAAGAACTTCGAAATCCCAGACACTGCATCCTTTTCATTGACTTAAATATGGAAAAACTGGAATTCTACTGTACTAGGACATGTAAAAAAGAACAAAAGAATTTTTGAAGGCTTTCTCCCCTAAACAGGTGGAGAGCTGAAAACACAAGACCTGAAAAACGTGCTCATCTATGATAGAATGTATATGTCTCCATTACCTATAGCAAACTTTTCTTTTTTGTTAAAACATTTTTGTTTTTCTCATGAAGCAGTAAGACTGCAAATCGTATTTGTGATCCATGCAACAGACCTAGCTAAATCCTAAGAAATGTCACTGCGGGGATGGGATCGTCTCTGTCACAATTACCGTAATTTGGTGGATATGGAAACTGCTGTGCTGGAGCCTGTGGCACTGCAGATCCTGCCAAGACACCATCCATGCTGGGGGAAGCAGTCACATTTGGAGGCGGGCTGAAGGCCTGGCTCTGCTGCTGTTGCTGTTGCTGCTGCTGCATCATCATTGCCACCCTTTGCTGTCGGAAGTGATGACTTAGCAGCTCTCTGCTGCGCTGGGCAACCATCTGGGCATTTAGAAAACCCTGCTAATAACAAAAAAGAATGCAATTACAAATAGCAAAAGCCACCAAGTTTCATACATATGGTGCCCCCATAATACATTAGGGATCAAAGACAGAAAAGTAACCAGCACATTTAACATTAAAGGAAAAAGGGTCCGGGGATATAGCTCAGTGTACAGCCCTGCCTGGCAAGCATGAGGTCCTGAGTTTATTACCAGCACACACACAAAAAAACTACTATTCATTATGGTTAAAAACTTTCTGAGCCTGGCACAACTGGTACATATTTGTTCTTCCAGCACTCACAGGAGGTAGAAGCAAAAGGCTCTCTTTCCAGGCTCAGGAGCTAGAGGTCAGCCTGAGCAAAATAAAGGAACCCCATGTTTTTCGAGGGGCCACGCACAGTAGGAATACCCTGTGAGGCTAAGGTAGGAGAATACTGAGTGCAAGCACAGCATGGGTGATTTAGTCACTTAACAGGACCTTGTCGCAAAATGAAAAAGTAATCAAAAATAACTGGGGATGGAACTCAGTGCAGAGGCCCTGGGTTCAATCCCCAGTTCCAGGGAGGGGAGGGAAAAGGAGAGGAAGGGAAAGGTGGGAAAAGGGAAGACACAGAGGAAGACCAGGGGAGTGGCAGGACAGTATTTTAGGCTGTAAGAAAACCAAAGAAGGGCACCCCCTTCAAAAAGAAATAAAAGACAAGGTTCTACTGAGATAGGCAGGAAGCTCAGAGGTCTTACAGTCTTTGTAAACCTGAAAGGAGAGGTAGAAGACAAAGAAAGAGAAAGCTGTTTGGAGGTTAAGGTGGTAACATGATCAAAGGTGAAACAACAGCCAGGTGTAATAGCTCACACCTGTAATCCCAGCACTGTGGGAGGCTGAGCCAGAAGGACTCTAAGGTCAAACCAGCCTAGGTAGTTTACTGACTTGTCCCAAAATACAAATTTTTAAAAGACTGGAGATGTAGCTCATTGTGAACAATATTCATTCAATACCCAGTACCAACCAAAAAAAAGCCAAAAACAAAAAGGGAAAAAAAAAAAAAAAGATAACAAAAAACACACACACACAAGAAGAAAGCAAAGTCTCTAAAAGCAGACAAAGGGTAGGACTGTAAAGCAACACTGATTTGGGATTTATGAACTCAGCAAAGATTAACTTAAAAAAAAATTTTGTAAGACATCTTAGCTCAGCTTATAGAAGATGCTGATACTGAAGAAAGTATCCGTACTTCCATGTAGGCCTAACATAGTGAAAACTGACACTCTCACTTACTTTACACAATTACGAACAGTATTTATAACCACAGTAGACAGAGGACTGTCATGCTGTCGACTGCCTGCTGAACATTAAGCCATGGGGTGGGAAGTGCAGGATACTGGAGATTGCACCCAAAGCCTTCATAAATATGCTACATCCCAGCCCTAAAAAGCATCTGAGTACTGCCTACACTGCAGCGAAGAGTTAGCACATGCCCTCTCACTACAGGAAATAGAGCATCTCTTATGTCATGAGCATGGGGTTTCATAATCTAGGAATGGACATATTAACAGAGTTACTATTTTAACTTCCTAAAAAGTTAAGTGATAGATTGTCTCGCAACACATCAAATGATTAGAGGGAATTACATTAAAAAAATATTCATCATTAGTTTTAATGACATAACAACCCCCCTTATTATTCCCATCACCATCAAGAGAAAAAACAGGGCATTCAGTGTGTACATGGAGCAGTGTTTTACACAAAAAATTCAAAATTACTCTGATCTGTCCAATCTACACAGACTGAGAGTCAACCACAAACCAAGACCTGTGCTGGAGGGTGACAACAAAGGGGATTCTGCTCATCCTCACCTGGGAGCTCACCGGGGGCTGCATCACGGGCCTCATCACTGCAGCAGCACCACCAGTGGGATTTTCAATCTTCATTTCAAGTGCCTGCCGGCTCTGATTCAAGAACTGAAGCGAGATGGGTTTGTTAGGATGCACATGGAGCATGGTAATATGCCCCAATCCACCAAGGTCATGACGCTATCTCAAAATCCATTAGCCTGATAAGTCGCATCTAAATTGAGCTGGTGCACTTTAATAGAGCAAAAGAATTTTTTTTTTTTTTTTAACAAAAAAGGTAAATGCTGAAACATCTTTGCCCAGCATATAAAACTTTACTGTTTGACACTGGGAGAAAAATAAAAGCACAAGTGTACAGTTTAAAAACTATCTTTCAAGGCTGGATGTGGTGGCCCACACCTGTAATCTAAACACTCTGGAGGCTAAGTTCAAGGCTGACCTGGGTAACAAAGTGAGTTCAAGGCCAGCTTGAACTGTATAGTGAAAACTGACCCAAAAAGAAATCTCCGGCCCCACCCCAAAAAAACTATTTTAGGAACTCAAAGGATTTATACACTCTGGGATTATTCAGGAACTTGCAGAAATTGCTTTAATGTTATCGAATAAACTACCTCCTGGTACTTTACCCTAAGTGACTTTTAGTGGAAATAAATGATGAAAATCACAATAATGCCAGGAACACATCTTTCCCAAGCACCTAAGCTATTATGAAAATTCAGGTACTGCATAGTCTCTGGCTCACTGGATTCTAAACTCAAGTCACTGGACTACTTCATGGATTAGTACCACCACATATAGGAACTTACCACATTGAAGACATACACAAATCACAGAAATATTTCTATTATTTTAAAACACTAGCTAGAGATTAAGGACACAATAGGGGAAACAGACAAGTTCTGAGAATATTAAAAGAGAGCTCTAGTTTTATAAAACACCTAAAAACCACTGACAAGTATTTAAGAAGGCTTAAATTACTTGATTATAGACTCAAGCACTTAAAAAACAAAGTCCTCAAGAAACAGTTTCCCTAAAAGAGCAATCACTTCTGACACTATTATTTTTTATATTGGAATATTCATATATGAAGGTAATCAATCACTTCTTAACATAGGAGCCATCTGTACAAATAAAATCTGACACAGCACAGAAAATTAAAGTATTTAGTTGGCAAGGGAGGGAGAAGCAGTGGGAACTCTAAAGAATATAGCCTGAAAACTAAGTAAGGTGCAACCAAAGGGAAAGCCATTTAGGCCACAACCAAACACACCACAGGTGGTTGATTACCTGCTGGCCCTGCAGTCTCTGCTGAAGCTGCATCCTAAGTTGTTTCGGGGTGTTTGTCCGAGGTCTCATGATGTTGGCCCTAGGATGCATCCCCTGGAGAGGAAAACTGCCTTGCTGGCTCATCTGATTCATCATCGAGTTAAAAGATGGTGACTGTCCCTGAAGATTAAAGCCTCCTTGCATTGGAGGGCCCTGTGTTGGGTACGTCTGTCCATATAATGCTGCCTTCTGATCCATCATTACTGCTGCTTCTTGACCTTGGAAAGCATCCTGTTTAGGCTCCAAAGCATGGCCCTTAAACATCAAACAAATAAGCAATGAAGTGTATCTGTAAAAGCAAAACTCAAGTATTCTAAAGGAGGAGAAAAATAAAGTCAATATATACATAGACAATGGTTCAAAACACCAAAGGCAAAATCAACTTTATTGTCTAAAGTTCTGAGAGTAGTAAGTGCCTCTGCTGAGGAATATGTTTTAGTGTGCAGCAAATAATTGCATAGAGGGAAACCCAAATATTTTCTAAATTCTACATATGTACTAAATACAGAGAGGATATAATTTGTTCCAGACCAGATCTCTATACTGAGAAACAAGGACCTCCCAAAGCAAGTATTTATTTTAAAAAATCAGTTAAAAAGATCACTAATCAATAAGTTCTTGTGTAATGTGATTATATATAACTAAAATGTACCAAAAAACAATTTTTTAAAAGTAATAAATAAAATAAATTCTTATGTAATTTATATAAGAACTTTTTTCAGGGAGGCAAGAGGTGACTGTGGTAACTTACAGGTAAATCAAAAACTGTTCACATCCCTGGAGTGTACTGACCAAGCCAGCTGTTAAAAACGTAAAAGGGGTTTTTCACTACTCTTTACCGGGGGATCCATTCATTCAACAAGTATTTATTAGCCTGGCATGATGGTGCAAGCTTATAATCCTAGCACTCGCGAGGCTGAGGCAGGACTGTCATGAGGTCAAGGCCAACCTGGGCTACATAGACAATTCAAGGACAACCGAAACTGCATGGTGAGACCCTGTCTCCAAAACAAAAACAAGTATTCACTGTTATGTGCCAGAAATCATTCCTGCACATACTAAAGATATGCACAAAGTAACATCCAGCAGGTGACAGAAAAAAATAAATATTCTAAAGGAAGAGAGCACTTGCCCTGCTAAATTAGAAAGGGAATGCACCTTCATCTTCTCATGGGTGTGCAATGCCACACATGCAGTCCACAGCCTTAAAAGTCTCCTCTCAAAGAACAGTTCACCCCACGGTACCCTGTAACGCCACCTGCATTCACTTCCCACCTCTGGATGTTTCTCAGATAGATGCTTCAGTCCAGGTTCCCTTTTCTCTTCATGTTATACCTAGTGCTCTCTTACCACTGATGACATCAAATTTGCTCTCCAGCCCCAACTTACTTTTGTTACATAAATGCGAACTTAGTGTTTTAACTGGATAGCCTCAGGCATCTGAAACTTGGCATGTAGAAAACAGAGTTATGATTTCCATAGCCATTCCCCTAACATGTTTCCTTAACTCTTCCCTATGCCACAATACATTGCATAGCCACTCACCTCACTAGAACTCAAAGGCAGCAATCCTGATTCCTCAGGCTTCTTCCAAGTTGCGGCCCGCGTGCGCGCGCGCGCGCGCGCGCACACACACACACACACACACACACACACACACTCTCATACACAGTCCACTAAGTCCACTCAGTTTTTCATCTGACAGCACGTTCTGTTTTGTTCCCCTCTTTGCATCACACTATAGACTTTCCAAGACTATGAGACTCTTGCAGCACAATATTTGACATCTGTGCATCTCCTTTGTCCCATCATACAAACTCCTTTCTCCAAGCAGACATCAAAGACATCTTTTTTTAAAGAGTGCTTCCAGATTGAACTTCTAGTTAAGTTAAATATGGCAGATCAACCAAGACAGTTCTTTCTCTTCTCTTACTCTACTAAAAATGATAGTAAAAGGGTGTGTGTGTGTGTGTGTGTGTGTCTGTCTGTCTGTCTGTCTTGACACAGGGTCTCACTAAGTACCCCAGACTGGCCTTGAACTTGAAGTGATCCTCCTGCCTCAGCTTCCCAAATGCTGGGATTAAGGTATGCACCACCATGCCCAACAATAATAAAAAAATTTAAAAGATTATTATTTACTAATGAAACCAGTAACAAGATAACAAGATCAGTATTTTGAAGACAGAAAGTAAATAGAGAAATGAACTCAACAGAGCAGAGAAACTCAGACCTATGTGCCTGTGGATCACAAAATGCATTTGAGAAGTAAGGAATGTAGTGCACAAAATGAAGTAGAAAGCCCTGCTTGGCACAGTAACAGAACAATCATTGGTTGTAATCTGATTACTGAGCAGGAAGGTAACTACCTCCCTGCCCTCTCACCTCTTCAAAACCTCTGTACCTTCTACCTAACTTCCACAGGACTGCGTTCAGGAAATTTTAGCAGAGCAAACAACAGAGGGAACAAAGCCTGAAATATATCCTAATAAAACTGTACATTATTGTCTAACTTTATGTCTTATTTAGTCTTATGCTATAATAAGATCAACCCCAATTCAGCTCTCACATGTAACAGAAGATTTCCACAGAAGAAATAGAGGTCACTTTGACAGGAAAAAAAAAAAATGCACAGTACCAGGAGGAAGAAGTGGTAGAGAACAATTCTATGTGTTGAAATCTGGAAAGTCCTGAAATAACGAGAAGGCCAATTCCACACTTAATCATTCTCTATAGAACCAACAAACCCTGCTCACACTTGGAGAGCTTCAAAGGAGCCGTGTTCTTCTGTTAGCATCTCACTGTGTGGCCCAGACTACACTCAAAAGCACGACCTTCCTACCTTGGTTTCCCAAGTGCTGGGATTACAAGTGTGCCACCACATCTGGCTCAAATCACCTATTTAATGAATGGATTTGTGAACGGAGCATTTTTCTAAGGCTGGGTAAATAAATACAATCAGATGATGTTCAGAATTACTGTTGTAAATATGTTAGACTTAAACTAAGAAAGTAACAGCTTGCCTCCTCAGGAGACACAATGATTAGCTAGGCAGTGAAGAAAAGTAGTCATAGGAATGGCAGAGGTAGGGAGTAAAAAGAATTAAGATGTATCATGTGCATGTAGCAGCTCCCCACAATGAAGGTAGTCATATCTACTGTAAACATGTACTAATAATTTCAAAGAAAAAAACTTTAATAGTTATAAAAATGATGACCTATAAAACATGTAAAAGTAGCATTTAAAAAATTTATACTGCTGAAGCAGGAGGATCACTGTGAATTCAAGACCAGCCTGGGCTACAAATGAGCTCAAGGCTGCCTGAACTACTATTAAAACCCTGTCTCAAAAAAAACACCTTGTAGGGGCTGGGGATTTAGCTCAGCGGCAAAAGCGCCTGCCTGGCAAGCACAAGGTCTTGAGTTCGGTTCCCGGTACCAGAGAAAAACCAAAAAAAAAAAAAAAAAACACCTTGTAGTGTCACTGAAATCATTATTCTAGTTTCCTAAAATATGACATCTTTATAAAATGCTAGGTTGTTGGGAGTAACATCATAATCATAAAGCATATTTTCTAAATTTACTGCTGGTATCCATGGCAAGGAAAAGAAGACACATAAGCATTCTGTACCTGGCCTCATAAATGTGCACATATGTATACACATGTTCATGGACACATACATTTTCCTAGCTCCATGTTGAGGGAACTTACCTGATTCACAAGTTCTGGGATGCCTAAAGCTCGGTCAATTTCCTCCAGGCCTGTTGCATCTGTGTTGCTCAAGAGTGTGTGCAGCTGGTCCAACAGAGCTCTTTCATCACTCTGGCCTTCCAAGTTAGAAGGTGACCCAAGGAGATCATCCAGGGAATTCCTAAGAATGGGTCTAAAAAGAGACTTGCAATCAGTTTTAATAGCACTTGGTAAGGAGCTCAGTGGATATAGAGTGCTTGCCTAACACTAGCTCACCTGAGATAAATGCCTAGAATGCAAAAGTATTTTTATTTTGTGGTCTTTTTTTCTCTTTTCAAAAAATAGATCAGCCAAAGGGCTAGACATGTAGCTCAGTGGTAGAGTGTTTGCCTAGCACAGGTGAGCTTCCAGATTGAACTTCCAGTATATTACTTCTCCCCGCAAAAAAACCCATGAACTGGGTATAGTGGCACACGCCTATAGTCCTGTAATCCCAGCTACTTGGAAAGGTGAGGCAGGAGGCTTGGGTTAAAGTTCAAGGCCACCTGGACAGTTCAGTGAAACCATATCTCAAAATAAAGAAATAAAAAAAGAGAAAACAAAAACAAAACAAAAAGCTGGGGATGAAATTCAATGGTATAGTGTTTGCCTAGTCTGCATGAGATCCTTGGAAAAAACAGCTAGACACTGTAGTACATGCTTGTAATTCTATTTACTCAGGAAACTGAGGAAAGAGAATGGAAATGTTCAAGGTCACTCTGGGCAACTTGACAAGACCCTTCCTCATAATAAAAACGAATATGCTCCCCATATCATCCTATCTGCAGTGTAATACACACACAGAGAATAATCACGGACCTTATTTTTAATTTGCATTGCATAATAACTCATAATACAAGTAAAATAATAAATCAGGCAGTAAATAACAGCAAGTCAATGTGCATTTAGGACCCATAATTTGAAATTTTTGCGGGACCATCGATGACCAACATACAAGTTTACGCCCCTCAACCCCACCACCAGAATGTAACTGCCCAATCCTAAAGGAGGGACAGCAGACGCTGAGAAAGAGGGGAAGATGGTGCTGTTTTCAAGACAAGAACAGAAGTCTATGTAGTAATCTAATAATTGAAAAGCAAGAAAATCAGCACTGGAGTAAAAAAGGATAGAAACACTGAACTATCAATGATTTGCAGTCTGGAAAACTGCCAAAATAACATTTTGTTATACTTGTCCCACAATGTTTATATTAACAAGTATAATACAAACTCCACACACAGCAAAGTGCCACAGTTCTCCAACACAGGAAAGAGTACAAAGCAAGATATATATACCTTGCCTCAAAAAATGTGTTACAAAAGTTCTGTGAGCTAAGCATAGTGGCACATGCTCATAATCCCAGAACTCATTAAGCTGAGGCAGGAGGATCACCCCAATTTGAGGCTAAATAGTGAGTTCAAGGCTTTGCACTACAAAGTGAGACACTGTCTCAAAAAAAAAGTTCTGTGAATCTAGGTGTGGTCTGTGCACCTGCAAATCCAACTGTGTGGGAGGATAAGGCAGGAGGGTTATAAATTCAAGGGCAGGCTAGGTACTTTAGAGTGAACCTGTCTCAAAGTTTTTTTTAAAAGGGGAGAATGTAGCTTTGCATTCCCTGGGTTCAATCCCCAGTACTAGGGGGAAAAATGTGTATCTACAAACATGAAATTACTTGTTCTCCACTAGGTAAAGAAATACTCAAGTTCATAAATGCACAGTTATATAACTGCTTTTCAATCACTTCATTTTTTTCTCTTTCCTTAATTAATTGCAAAATTGAAGTCAAGAGGTGACACTGACAGAGGCCTCTTGCATGTAAGTAAGTTTCTAAAATAAGTGAAAATAAAACATAAGCCAAGTTTGGTGGCACATGCCTGTAATTCCAGCTTTCAGGATCACAGCCTCTGAGCTACCTATATTATTGAGATCCTCTCTCAAATAAATAAAAAATAAAATAAAGTAAAATGTAGACTTAATCCACAATCTTTCTTTTATAAAGATAAATAGGTAAAATAGGCCATTTTCACCACCATCACTGAAATACTTTTAGATAATTTTAGAACAACTACCCAAGCTGGATGTGGTGATACACACTTATATTCCTAGAACATGGGAGTTTGAGACCAGCCTGGCCTGCATGTATATTGAGTTGAAGACCAGGTTGAATTACACAGCAAGATCCTTTCTCAAAAAAAAAATCAAAACAACCCATTATCCAACCCTTAAAAATTAATTTTCAGAAAAACTGTAGCTTCTTCTCTGAATACAACTTATACCACCACTGCAAACATGTACTTATTCTGGCAAGTTACTATTAATTTCACTCGTTCCTCATGAGATTATCATTATAAAAAGGCAGTCACACCTCAGAGACTCTAGGATGTCTACCACTACATGGCCCTGATAACTAGCAGTACTGCTCTGTCTCCGCCTGCTGCCCCTGCAGGATGGCGACAAAGTAATCAAACCACAGAGAATTTTTCAAATTTTCTTTCAGTATTTTTTTCTATTCTGGCTCTTTTCCACATTATGCAATGATAACACTTTCAATAGTCACAAAATAAGGCCCTACCTGTTTTGAGTCCCATGAGGGCCTTGTTCCATGGACAGCATGCCATCTGGCCAGGAACCTGGTTGATTAGATGGTGCTGCTTGGCCATAGGGATTGACGCCCATTCCCATGGGAATCTCACCAGGCTCTGGGGGAGCAAAAAGAAAAGTGGTAAGTGAGTTTTCAAGCCAAGTCAATAATAAAAATTGCCCTAATGTATTTTTAAATGACACATACTCATCTGAAGCTGCTGCTGCTGCTGCTGCTGCTGCTGCTGCTGCTGCTGCTGCTGCTGCTGCTGCAGCATTGGCCTCACACCTGGTATGTTATTTGACCGAAGAGGAAAGGTTGGCATAGTGCCTCCCATTGAAGGTCTGGGCAAAGAACAAGGTAAAGCACAGTAATCCCCTCCGGGCCTTCCGATGGAGTTTGAACTCATAGGTTCCATTCTGCTGGCCTTTGAATTTGGTAAGCCCCAATCTCCTGAGGTAGGAGCCTGGCTTACAGTCACATTTCTGTTTGGTCCACCTAAAATAGGTTAAAAATGATTAGGTCTTTTCCATAGCATAATGAAATCCTACTTAAGGCCATTAAGATTCTAGCTTTGACAATTCACTTTCTCATTGTGAACAGTCCTTTGGCAAATACAATTGGCCACAATTCCCACATACTGATTGCAAGTTAGAAAAATGTCATAGGCCAACAAATTCTTAAAGACATTAAATAACCAAGACATAAAATAAATAAGTATCTTTATAAAAGAAAAATCATGTTAATGATATTTTTCGGTTTTTCCCACTTATTAAAATAGTCTTAAGTACTTAAATTTTGTTTTCCCCTAAAGAATTTTAAAGTATAAAATACTAATTAGAAACAACCTACCTATGTTTGAGCCATAATTTTCCTGACTATCCATCATTCTTGGGGTCCCACCCAACATGGGTTGCTTTGGTAACATGGGGAAAGCGTTGGCATTCTTTATTGGGGGACTGGAGCCAACAGTAACAGGACTATCTAAAGACACTGCTCGGCTATAGGGTGGACGACTGGGCTGCACAGACTGTGGACTTCTCAAACCTGTTGAAAACAAAGAAGAACGCTACACAAAAATGTCCTATCTCAGTATATCTATGTGATCAAGTCCTCTAGGCATCCTGTGTTGCTCCTGGCTGGGACAGGCTGCTATTCCTCCCATCCATTAAGTTCTTAATAAATTTCATTGTTTAAAAAAAATTCTAAAAAAGATAAGATCAAGTCCCCCGAAATCCCAATACTTTCAAAGCTGGGGTAGGGATCATCACAAGTTTGTGGCCAGCCTGGGCTATACAGTGAGCTCAAAACCAACCTCACATACATACCAAGCAAGTCCCTGTCTCCACTCTTTTGTTTTTGTTTTTTGTTTTGGTACCAGGAATCAAACTCGGGACCTCACACTTGCCAGGCAGGCGCTTGTGCCGCTGAGCTAAATCCCTAGCCCTTGACTCTGTCTCAAAAAGCAAAACAAAGACACAGATGCATGCTCAAGTACAAGATATAAACACCATCACTCCCCATGAGAATGTCACAAAAATAAGTATCGTATTCCTTTACAAAAAATAAACACCAAGTTTTTTAAAGCCCATGCATGAGCCGGGCATGGTGGCACACACCTGTAATCCCAGCACTTGGGAGTCTGAGGCAGGAGGATTACCACAAGTTCCAGGCCAGCCTGGGCTACAAAGTGAGTACAAGGCCAGTATGAACTGCATAGTGAAAACCTCTCAAAGACAATAAAAACAAAACAACAACAAGAGAAAAACATGCATTCCAAATAAAGTAAAAACAACAATCTCAGTGTTGGCTGAAGTCTTGGGAATTCTTCTGTAACCTGGTGTGGGTCATTCATATACTGATCCATTACATACTAAAAAATTCACCAGGCTGAGGATGTAGCCAAGTGGTACAGTGCATGGACAACATGCCTGAGGCTGGGATTCGATCTCCAGCACCACAAAAGAGGGAGGGAGGGGAGGAAAGGAGAAAAGATCACCAATAATTTACTAACATTTCAAACTGCTGGTGGTGTAAGCCAGTAATTCCAGCTCAAGAGGCTAAGTCAGAAGCTCTCTGAGTCTGAGGCCAGCCTGGGTGACAGACACAGTGAGTTCAAGGCCAGCCTGAACTGCATACTGAGAACCTGTCCCAAAAAAACAAAAAAAAACAGGGCCAGGGATGTACCTCAGCAACAAGTGCCTGCCTGGCAAGCACAAGGCCCTGAGATCAATTCCTGGTACCCAAAAAAAGAAAAAAAAAACAACTTTCTCTTAACACAGTCTCCCTTTTTTTCCCCTAATCTATTTGATTGCTCTGACTACCCGTTTCAATTTAGAAAACAATGCCAATGAACATCAATAATCACTTTCAAGGTAATTGTAAATTATTCTTTTTCAACTGTTACTCAAAATATCTCGTTTAAATGACCAGTGACTTGGGGGCTGGGGACTTAGCTCAGCGGCAAAAGCACCTGCCTGGCAAGTGCAAGGTTGTGAGTTCGGTTCCTGGTACCGGAGAAAAACCAAAAAAAAATAAAAATAAAAAAATAAAAAAAAAAAATGACCAGTGACTAAATACATAGGAAATATATACAAAAGAATTTAGCTAAGAACCAGAGGACATGCCAGGTGTGGTGGAGCATGCCTGTAATCCCAGCACTCGAGAGACTGAGGCAGAAGGATTGTTGCGAGTTCGAGACCAGCCTGGGCTACAAAGTGAGCACAAGGCCAGCTTGAACTGCATAGCCAGACCCTGCCTCAAACACACACACAAAAGCCAGGCATGGTGGCACACCCCTGTAATCCCAGCACTAGGGAGGCTGAGGCAAGGGGATTGTTGTGAGTTTCAGACAAGCCTGGGCCACAAAGTGAGCTCAAGGCCAGTCTGAACTCCAGAGCAAGATCCTATCTCAAACACACATACATACACACACACACACACACACACACACACACACACACACACACAAAGAAAAAAAACCAGAGGACAGGATTTAGGCTATCATCTGGGTTGTTTTATAATTCAGTCCTCTATGGCTAAAAAAGACATACACCCTAACAACTAGGATATGTACAGATAATAAAAAATTAACATTTTCCTACAAGTACCATGGTTGCTAGCACATTAGTTGCAAACAATTTTTTTAAAGAAAGGGCTTTTAAAAACACATCCTATGAATTAGTATAAGAAACTGAAAGGTACAGTATGTGTTCTTCAAATTAAAAATGGTAGTTATATCTTGGTCTTGGTATAAGAATACAAGTACACAAAAAAGTTTCAAACAACAAAATCTGGTTTGCCCTTACCTAGAGAGTTAGTTCCTTGAAACATCTGTTGCTTGCTGCCCAGATGACTGCCATTTGTGGTCATAGGATTACTGTAAAAGTCAGAACTAGTCAGATCACCAAGAATAGCATCTAGATTATCCAAGTCTCCAGATCCCTGAAAATGAAATTTTAAAAATTAATCTGTGTAATATATTAGATATACACCTATAAATATATTCACTGGAAGAAAATATATGAAGAGGGGATAAACAAAATACAATAATTACCTGAAATGATAATTGCCCAACTTGACACATGTTTTCTTATGACTCCCATCCCTAATCGTTCTCCTTAGAATGAACACTTTATAAATCACTGAACTTCCTGGGCTATAGATATGGCTCAGTGGTAGAGTTGCCTTGCTTGCACAAGGATCCTCAGCACCACAAAAAAATAAAAATAATGGGGCTTTTTTTTTTTTCTACCTAACATTTCATTTTCAAACTATGGATATTTTCCAGCAAAAAAGAAAAGAAAAAAAAAATTTACAAAGCAAAGCAAAAAGATTTTACATGAGTATTTTACAGCTAACAATAACTGCAGAGAATGTATCATTAGCTAACATATTTTTGCATAGATAGCTACACATACTTTCTGTAAGTAACTGTGATTAATGCAAGTGCCAGGCTAGGGTCTAACAAGATATTCATACAGACGCTGTAAAAAGACCTTTGATCAATAAATGTGATGCACACTAGCTTGAAAGTTAAGTCCACACCTTAAAATGTGAGACTTCTTCAAGCCTTTCCATTTGCTCCTATGATGTTTCTTAAGAGGAGTCAGGAAAATGCTTACATAGAGTATGAGCATCTAGGTAAAAAACTTCATTATCAGATAAAACTTAAAATTATGTTAATCAATTTTTCCTACTTAGTTCTATAATGACCCAATCTGCTCATTCCAACACCATAGTGCCCAAATATTTCAAACAGGCTACATTAGTTATATCCACATTTTAGAAGATACACAGCTGATACTTCAAAATTGCATCACAATACTTTATTAATATCCAAAAGAGCTACAAAGGACTAACTTACCTTAAATAAGTCATAAATTAGAAACACATATTGTATATAAAACATTTTTCTAAACAGATTACACATAATGAGCTGGAACAGAGAGAAAATCAGTTACCTCTTCACTAGTTTCCGTCTTAATTTTAGGCTCCTTCTCTTGAGTTGAGCTGGGAATGGTGGAGCTACTGCACTGACTTGTTTTACTGTCCACTCCTTCCACTTGGGGCTGTAATTCCTTACAGAGTGTATCACTGGGATCATCCCTGTCCAACAAGTATCTGAGAAGCGCATTATTCTCCTTCTTCTTCGGACTCAGCTGCTCCTGCTTGACAGCTCCTTCACCACAAGCAACTGTACTACTGGTGTCTTTTCCAGTGGCTTCTGCAGTAATCTTGGCAACTTCAGCTGGTGAATTCCCATTCTGCAGCAACTTATGCAAAATCCGATGCTTCTCTTGCAACAGTGATCCGTGCATATTGGACGTGGAAGACACTCCTCCAGATGTTGAGGAAGAAACTCCAGAGGGGCTGGTGACACTAACAGAAGAGTCTTTACAACTTGAGTCCAAGGGGGAATTGGTCAAGGAGGAATGACCTCGATCATCAGAAGAGCAGGTGAGCAATTGCAGTAATTTTTTATGACCTTTGCTTTCTAAAGGACCCTTCGGATTCTCTGATCCTTCACCACTGCTCTCCTTACTTTCTTTGTCATTGAGGTGGTCTCTGCTATTTGACTGGCACATCGTACTCTCCACTGGATTCTGGTCACAGTACAAGCCTAAGGGACTCTTAGAATCCTGACTGCTCGCTTTACTTGGTTGGGTTATATTCATATTGGGAGAGTTATCCAATTTGGGTCCTGGTGAAGACAAAGTAGATAAAAGAGAAGTCCCCACACCCTCACTAATGGCTTGCAGGGCACTAAGAGAGCTGCTGGAAAAATTATGGCTCCCTGAATTGCCAGAAGATCCCATGGGAGAGTGTACACCTGGATTTAAAGAAAAATTAGGAAGAGAATTAGGCTATTAGGAACTATAACCAACAATACTTCAGTTTCTACTGCAAAATTAACTAGTTAAAAATTATAAGGATATGGGAAGAAGAAACGCTAACATGAATACCTGCAACGGGAGAAAACTGATGTGAGGCCATCTTTGGACTACCGCGGTTACGAGGTGAAATCATAATATTCTGCTGATTGGAGCCAAGACCAGGACTGCCCTGAGGGGGGCTGCTCATGTTGAGCCCATAGTTGTTGTTTTGGTAGGAAGACGGTGACTGCATACCTGGCCCAGGCGTCAGTGAAGAAATGTTACTGGAAGCCCCATACCTAGCTCCACTCAGCTGCCCTGTGGTGCTGGGGTCTCCCAAGCCATAGGCCCTGCTGTTCAGCAACTGTAAGCCTTGGTTCGGTGACATGTTCATGCTGCCGACCGAACTGCTGCATCCAGCTGCAGGAGGCCTAATGCCTTGTCCTATAGGACTTGGGTTTGGTCTATACCCATTCTGTTCTCTGCAAAGAAAGAAAACATCAAACTTTAGCTAAAAAATTACAGGAATGCACTAAAGCCCAGAACTGTATTGCAGGCAACACAGACAGTGAATGGGGGAGGGGACAATATGAAGTAACTGTACAGGAAATGTAACTTCTTATAGGTATCATTCCAATACCTAGTAATACACCCAATTTAGAGCTGATGACTAATATAATAATGTATTTTTCAGTAAATCAAAAAAAAAAACCTAAATTAGAGTGATACCACCATAGCACTGTCAAGGACCACCAGCCCAGGTCAGCTGGAATCTCAGTGGGGATTTAGTAGAGTTCCCAATATCTAGGAGCTAATCTGAAAATACCTGCAAATTACTCAAGATAATGGATGAATATCCATCTGCTGTTTAGTTACCATTAGCAATACCAGGAGTTACTATCCTTCATTCTTACAGTGTACCTTTGAATTTTAAATTCAGCCCCTAAAAGCAATGTAACACACATCATTAGAAATGAAAAGCCAGCTGGGTATGGCAATCCCAGGACTCAGGAGGCTGAGGCAGGAGGATCATTCCAAGTTCAAGACTAGCCTGAGCAACAAAGTGAGCTCAAGGACAGCCTGAACTGCATAGTAAGACCCTGTATCCAGGGGAAAAAAAAAAAAAAAAAAGGACATAGAAAGCCAGGTGTGGTGCTGCATACCTGTAATCCCAGCACTCACAAGTTTAGGGCCAGCCTGAGGTACATAGAGAGCTCAAGGTCAGCCTGGACTACATAATAAAACCCTTTCTCAAAAAACTGAAACCTCACCCTCCCCTCCAAAAAAGAAATAAAAGGTAACAGAGATAATCAGATTTTATATGCTCTTTGATCTGGCAGACTTCCTATCCCGTAGAATTGCCAGGAGTAATTATTTATTGAAATAGTAATTTTATAGAAAAATATAGAGATAAAACCATCTAGAAACACTCTAAACTAGCTTCACACAATCCAACAATTTCTTTCATAACATTTCTCCCTTTTTACATTAATAAGACATCTTGTAAACACACTGCACAGTAATCTACCATTACCTCTGAAGAAAGTGGGTTGAGACAAAACCATGACGATCATTTGTTACAGGGTTTCGGAAGAGTTTACTTTTTGTTTGTGCAGTCACTATAGTCCCATCAGCCAATGAAAATCGATACACTGGAGTTTCTGCATGGCCATGAATATAAGCTGTTAAGGGAAACACACTATTACTAGCATCTACGATTAGTTAAAAAAAACTTGTACAGAAGTGGAGAGAGGGGCTGGGGATTTAGCTCAGCGGCACAGCGCCTGCCTGGCAAGTGCGAGGTCATGAGTTCGAAAGAAGTGGAGAGAAAGGAATTGTATTTCATGCACAAACTTTTTTAAATCCATTGTTGGGTGTGATGGCACATGCCTACAATCTCAGCACTTGAGAGGCTGAGGTAAAAAGCCTGGGCTACATAGTTAGTCCAAGGCCAGCCTGTACATGGTGAGATCCTGTCTCAAAAAAAAACAGTGGAAGACTGCACTTGCATCAAACTTAAAGAAAAAAGTAGGAAAGAAACAGACACACACACACACACACACACACACACACACACACACACACAGAGCAAGAGAGAAAGAGAGTACACCATGTATAATGGCGCACACCTATAATCATAGCACTTGGGAGACTGAGCCAAGAGAATCTCTGCAAGTTTCAAGGCCAGCATTGGATATATGTAGTGAGTTCAAGACAGGACTAAACTACATAGTGATATCCTGTTACAAACAAAACAAAACAAAACAAAACAAAACAAAACAAAACAAAAAAAAGAAACAAACAAAATTATTTTCTTTCCCCCCAGGCCTATAGTCACGTATGTGTTATAACATACCCAACAATCTACTCCAAATGTCCTTACCTTCTTGATAATGACGTTTCTGGGACCATGACTGCCCATCATTAAGACTAAAAAACCTTTGAATACACCTTCGGATTATATCCTCAAAGCCAGGTCTCATGGAGGATCTTAGTGAATTTGTGTCTATATTGACAACCTTTCCTATAAAAAAAAAAACAAAAAACAAAGATTTAAATCCCTCCCCCAAAGTATTTAGTGCTGCCTACCCATGGCTTAGCAAAAAAGAAATATATTAAATCTTCATTCTGCCTTCTCTACTCCAAGTTCTTATAACGTGTCTTTTCTCCTTGAAAACAGTCCTGCAGGATGCTCTTATGCCTACATGTTCTGCTGAAATATGTACCTGTCCACTTCCCAGCACAGAGTACATAAAACCCTTCTAATTTTCTCATAAGGTTATCTTTTATAGATTCATAAAGGAGAATCTCTCTGATCAAATCCATTCTACTGAGGTGATTTAGGGTGGTATACCTACATGGTCTCAGGGTCTAGTCAGCAAAACAACTCAGTGCCTGGAGGACTGGAACTATCAGCTCCATCTATGACTTGAAACACGAGGATAAAAACTCTTGAACAAAATACCTAGCGAGCTTCCAAGTTGGTAAAGGTGAGGGAAACAGCTGGAGAAGGCATGCAAATTCTCCAGGGGAGTTGAGTTTTTTAAGTGATGCTTGCTGATGTGCAGAATGAAGAAGTTGCAGTTAGAAAATTCAAAGTAATTACTGAGGAAGCCAAAGGCAGAACTGTAACCAACTGCTATGGCATGGAACTTGCTTGGGACAAAATACGTTCCATGGCCTGAATATGGTACACTGTGACTGAATCTCATGATGATGTCCAAGTTAGCAATCATTATTTGTTCTGACATGTCTCACTAAAAAATACAATACTCAGATCCAGGAGTCTGGTTACGTTCAACACCAACAGGGCTACTTAAATTCTGAAGGTGACAGGTATCACAGTACAAGAAACCTGAAAGAATGAAACAAGTAGCCAAGAAGCTGCCTCTATGAGTCTGGAAAGGCACAGAAAAACACCAATTCATTCATCATTTGTCAGAACAGTAAAAATACTGAAGCAAAAAAAGTGTGGACTAAGAAAACTCATGGGAATCCACAGTGTAAGGTAGTTCTGAAAAAGCTACTGGAGATGAAAAAAGAACTAACTGAGATACACCACCAGTTCAATGAAGTTTCAAATCAGAGTTGATGGTGACCCCAAAAAATGTTATTAGTGCGGAAAAATGACTAGAGAAAATGCATTCTAGAGAGGAGGAAGTAAGTCCCTACGCACTGTGAATACAGACTAGTCCTCAACAGCTTCTCCTGAGGTTAGCCCTAAACTACATGCCAAACACATGTGTACTACACACATACTAACAGTCAGACATGCTTTACATTTATTTAAAACTACTCCGCGGGGCTGGGGATATAGCTCAGTGGCACAAGCACCTGCCTAGCAAGCACAAGGTCCTGAGTTTGATCCTTGGTACCGCAAAAAAAAAAAAGAAAAAGAAAATAAAACTACTCCGCTTATGAAATCACTTTCCCAATGATTTAAGTGCTTTACATTTACAGCTCCCCCATTATGAAATCACTAAAAGTTCATATGATGGATAGAACTAGTGTGACACAAAGCTAATACTATAGGCTTTCTTTTAAATCAAGCAGACCCAGGTGTACATTCCCTTTTAGCCATGATTTGGGACAGTGAGTTTCTTCCCTATCACCAACCCTTTTATGTCTCCTCTCGGAGATGAAGCACGTATGAAAAAGCCTTGGCCTCATCATTTAGGTTAGATGATGACAAGAGTAAGCAGAAAGGTTGTTAACAGTGTTAACAGTGCCACCATGTTTAACTTCTTAAATGTGCCTTCTCAGCTATGATGTAATCAACTCTGTATTCCTGTGGCCAAAATGGCAAGCCAAGCTGCAGCTCATGTTGATTTCAAAAAGCATTATCAGTAATTCTCATTACCTATATTTTTGAAAACATTTCTTTAGAAAAAATGGGCTTGAAGTTAGAGAACAGTGATATGAAATTATGATGCAAAATGATACTTGGAGAACAAGGTGCCTCTAAATTTGTTGTTTAATTTGTTTATTTAGGTGGCCTTAAGCACCAAATATACTCAAATGCTATGTGCGGCAGTGGAATTCACATAGGGTTCTACAAGAAACAAGGATATAATACACAGAAATAATTCCAGGGAGTGTAAGGAGTTAAATGATCATGAAAACTTTCATGAAAACAGCATTTGTTTTAAAACTACTCCGCTTAAGAAATCACTTTCCCAATGATTTAAATGCCTTACATTTACAGCTATTCCATTTAAGAAATCACTAAAAGTTCATATGATGGATACATTTATACTTTTTTTAACAATGTTCAAACTGAAGAGGCGTATACACACACCCACACATGCATGGACATGCAATGTTTTTACCTGAAAGGTCATGTCTAGTAATAAAACTCTCAGGATTTGAAGGAAATGCTCTTTCTCCTGTAGTAATGCGGCGTGCCACACAGATCATACAGGATTGCAAATCTATAATAAAATTTAACCAGATGAAGATTATAATTGTTTTTTAATACCTCTATCCAGTAGGCAACCAAAGACGAGGAGGTAAGTAAGAAGCGTAAGAACAAGAGAACTTACAAAACTACAGAGTGGCTATGTATTTCATAAACATCGTAAATATGACTTCTCTTACCTTCCCCCTCCTCCATCATAGCTCGTGGCTGAGACAAGGCAAAGCACTGCATTGTTTCATATCTGTGGCGCATTTCAGGACTAGTGCTCATGTCTTCCAGAACATCGTGTGTTGTTTTTATCAACAGACGACAATTAAATGTATGGCTCTTTTGTCTCTGGGTCTCATTTGTCCAAGAAACTCCATTAACTTTGGAAAACAAATGGAAATGATTTTTTTTTATTTATTTATTTTTTTCATTTTTGGGGGGTTTTTTTTGGTTTTTCTCCGGTACCGGGAACCGAACTCACGACCTTGCGCTTGCCAGGCAGGCGCTTTCTGCCGCTGAGCTAAATCCCCAGCCCCTGCTTTTTTTTTTAAATCTGGTATCAGGCGAGAGATTTATCTCAGTGGCACAGCACCTGTCTAGCAAGCACAAGGTCCTGAGTCTGATGCCCAGGACAAAAAAAAAAGTTGGTCTCTTGTCTACAGTATCATCAGAAATTCAACCTGTAGGCCATGTGTGATAACGCCTGAAGTCTCAGCTACTCAAGTGGCTGAGGCAAGGATGATTTGAGTTTGACATTAGTCTGGGCAACACAGCAAGATCGAGTCTCAATCAAAAAGAAAAAAAGCTGTATTTTCACGTTACATATGTTTTGATGGTATGATCTACAGTAATATTTCAAAACACCAAGTGACCCCGGCATGGTGGCACACTCCT